GTGAATCCCAATCAAGTAACAAGAGACAGCCGGAATCCACTAGCTGGGCGAGCTAGAATGGGTATCGCAGCGTAGTAAGAGTTAGCAGAGTAGTATACCAAATCGGGGAGTACACAGCGCCGGCCCACCATTCGTTTAAGGCATCCACTAGAAAAGGTGGCTTGTTGTTGTTCTCTTTCTTTTCTCCCCCTTCCCCTTTTTCTCGTTGCTCGGGACACACTTTGCGATTTTGTTCATTCATTTGTCTCTGGATCCGTTTCTCCCCCGGGTATTTCCGTTCGCCGAGTTTTATCGCCCCCTTCATTCCCCGCAACCGGCGACGCCTGACGCACGATGGTCTGTCGTGTCGTGCCAAGCATATATATCCGCACGAGATATATAAACCGCACCTCCGCCATTTCTCTCTATCGGGGTGGGCCGATGAGCCCCGACAAACTTGACATCACGATCTAGCACTCGGCACCCAACCTCTATCTCCTCTATGGTGCACCCGACCCGCAAGATTGCCTGATGAGCATATGACGCCGGCTGCCGCTCTCTTGAGCAATCATGCGAGTGCACTAGTTGTGCAGCAACGTAGCAGTCCTGGTCGGCAGTCGCGAGAAGATGGGGGGAGGTGGGGAGAGGCAATGTAACGGAGATTGGCAAACCAAAGGGCAGGTGGAGTAGATACATGGAGTCTTACAGACGGGAGAATCGGAGCACATGTATTGCTTTCGGTCAGGATTGCATATTTTTATGATGGAACATATTTTATATCTATCCTTTAGCATCTTGGGGGCGGTTCGAAGCCTCTTTCTTTTCCATTTCTCCCCCTTTGTATATCATACCATACTACCAATAAATTGAAATGAACTGGGCGCCGGGGATGATGCAACTACTAGCACTGTACTCGAGCACAGCCCCACCTGACTACTATCTAAATGTTACGATCGTATGATACCCGACGTTTTTTTTTTATTTTTTTAAAAAAAAGCGGGGAGACGAATGGGATGGAACCTAGTTCACAGATTCCACAAAATACATCACGTCATACTACCGGAAGACACGATCGCGTAAATCAACTCGCCTCCTTTGTTTCCACGTTTGGGAGGGTTTACATTGTGTCATGCTACTTATTGTGCGTGTAAATGACAGGGCATAATATTTGGAGGTTGCTTTGGTGGTCCGAGGGTTTTACTCGTATGATACTTGGCGGTTTGGGGGTATCTCTATACTTGTAATGTACTGAACGCTTATCCCAAAAGTGGGATCTGATCATTGGATATGGCCGTCTAATCCGATGACTTATTCGCACCCTAACTAACACCTACCGCTCCGAAGGAAAGAGCATCCCAGCCAGTCGGGGATAAGGGAGGGGGGGTGGAGAGCGCGGGAAAGAGGAAAAAATAATCAACATATCGGTATATCCATGACCTGGTCAGCAGAAAATGGAGAATGCTTCCCAAAAGATCCACCCCTCATCGACTTGGGGTAGGGCTAAAAAGTCTTGGACCGGAAAGAGAAAGAATTCCTCGAGGTCCCGAAAGGCCTATGCGAGTGGGATAGTACTACACAGACCTATATTCTCCATATCCTATGATAGCTGTCCATACGTGCGATAATTACATCCTCAGATACGTAGTTTACAGGGTGGGTAACTAAGGAACTGGTGTTGGATCTCTCAAGCTCCAGAAATAGAAATACCGTGGACAGTCACTTGGACAGAGAGACAGGTAAGCAGGACGGACTGCTTGGTCTTCCAAATAGGATGTGATCGAGGGAGAATGACTTGTGGTCTCGTGCCGGAGGTGTCCTATGTATAGAAAATTTGTCAGCAAGGAAAAATAAATGATACTCCTCCAAGTTTCTCGCACCACCTCCCACTCTCTCCTTTCCGCTCCCACCACCTCCGCTTCCACCCCCCACAAACAGTTTCACGGAGACATTTGCCACAGCAGTTATGACTACTTTCCCGATATGCTCGACAACCTCCATAGTCTGATACTAGCTAGAATCGTTTTATTACAAACTAAAGGGTTAGTGTGCACTATCTAAACTCTCTTGCCTTTCCATACTCCCAAGCTAACTAGATCTCAGCTCTGTTGCAAACACAATAATACTGCCTTGATTCTCCAACAATCACCAAACACAAAACTATTGCATCTCCTCCCTCCGTTCTCTAACAGTGTTCCCAACCGTCCGGTACTTACGTCTTTGGGATAGGGCGGGACGGACTATAGACAGTAGTCCGTCTTTTCGGTGGTGCTAGGACGGACTACTCCTGGGACCGGCAGGACCGGACAGGCTGCCGAGGACTGCAGTCCTATCATACATCCTGGAGTCCTATGAACAAAAGGGCCTTGTCAACCCCAATGTTTCAACCATATCTGAGGTTGTTTGTGGTATAATTTGCTGCTCCCGGCAGTCTCCCCACAGTCCCCCGCCGTCCATAATAGTCCCCCACCATCCCCTTGACCACCACAATTTCACCCTGCCGGACTCTCCGTCCCACCTAAGGACGCCCATCCTATATTTTCGCCCCCCCCACCCCCCTGGACGGTTGGGAGCACTGTCTAACGAGCAACTGTCCCACTAAACTAATCGATGGAAGGTTCGCGAATTTCAACATTTGGGCCTACAAAAATATTCCCATCGCTCGTCTGCTGACGCGCCATATCTTCTCTGGTACCGTTTTGACAAAGCAGAGAAATTTGTGGACCGTGAATGCTAAAATCACCAATCAGGGCACGGAATGGGGGACAGTTTGATGGCAAAGGGAGCAAGGGGGGCTGAAAGCTCTGCTCTTCCAGGCCGAAGGGAGTTTTAAACGTCGAATCGGTGAAGGCCATAGCGATAGCGAAAACGAACGGCGAACGAACAGCGAACGAACGGCGGAACGATCGACTGGCACGCTGTGAAACTAAATGACAACCGGGGATCAGCGAAACAGCTCAACTGCGAAACGAAAAGAAAAGCCAAGATCTCACACACGAAACGTTCGCACAACTCACGAGCGGGGGAAAAGTCTTCACTTCATTTACCTCTCACTATCGCGCTCAACTAACGGTAAAGACAGGAGTATGTATCAACGACAAAACAACAAAATCCTTCTATCTTTCCATGGACTACCACACATGTCCACACCATTGCTCGTATGCCCCCTTCTGCTTTCTATGACTCCCGACAGCCCAGGCCTGCATATTGATGAAGCCTGAAGGAAAGCACGAAAGAATGAACCATCAAAAGTGTGATATGCTAATATCAACACGGGGTCGAGTTGAAGGATGGTGAGAGAACATGCGATCAACAATCGGTATCCGTGATGATTCACGATCCTCTGAATCCTAGCTAGGATAAAGCAGGAGATACATGTCTCCAACCACATAACAACTCTGGGGGCCAAAAGAAATACCACGAACGCTAAAGGACCACACCATCCTGACAACCCGTGGTCCTCTGTGCTCCACAGAAATCCTGAACTCCGATGAACCTCCAACAAAAGGACCATATGCTCAATGGCATAGGGTGTGAAGAAAACCAATGATCATGCCCAATTTTCTTAGCAACGGGTAATAATGCGAAGAGGAAACAAAACCGATACCCGTCTATCCGCCAACCACCCAACCACAGACCTGATAGGCAATCCAGCACCCATGAGAGGGGAAAATATCGTTCAAATGGAGCAGGTTTGTATCCCATTCGCAGTAACTATGGGTTAAGATACTAAACGTCATTCACAGCGTCCCCAACCGTCTAGTGGCCCACCGGGGCCTCACGGAGCGACTACCGAGAGCCTTGGATGGGACGGGACGGCCGTGTGCAGTCTTTCCGGGGAGGTGAAAATGCAGGACGGGCATCTTTAGGTGGGACGGCCGGCCTACAGGGTGAAATAGCGGTGGCCAAGGGATAGTGGGGGACCTCTGGGGACTGCCGGGGACAACAAATTATACAACAACCTCAGGAAACGGTTGAAAAATTGGGGTCGACAAGGCCCTTTTGTTCATAGGATTTGAGGCTGTAAGACGGTTTGTTCTTGGTGGTCCGTCCGGTCCTACCAGTCACGGGCGTACTCCCTCCTAGCACCCCCCGAAAAGACGGATGGCAGGCTACAGTCCATCCCATCCTACCCCAAAGACGGGCGGACTGCACGGTTGGGGGCGGTGGCCATTCAGGTCAATCCGCCGTCAAGTGGCCCCAACGAGGGCGCCGAGCAGTGGAGAAAATCGAGCTCGGGTGGAGGGGGGAGGGAGGGGACGCCGCTCTTGAAGGGCAAATTCCTCCATGCCGCAACCAATCCCGTAGCCGGTAGCTTCGCATGGGCATCTGCCTTAGGCGCGCCGACAGCCTATATTTCTCTGACAACTTTGGGATTAATCGCTATTGAATAATAAGCTTTATCACTCGCTGGATCGTGTTCGGCATTATATTGTCCATTTCCTCAAATATGGCCCTGGCTGGTGGAGAGGATTCCCTGGCGCTGGGTCGTCGGCTGGGTGCCTCTTGGTATCGAATATTGGATTCGGGTTTGGGAGGAGTGGTTGCGAGATGTGTTTGCCGCTGGTGGTGTGGGATAAGGCTGGAAATATATGTGGGTCCAACGGCTCTCGGATAATATATTTGAATTGAATCTCACTAGTGGTGGTAGTACCATATTGTATTGTGTATTGATGTGATGTTATGATATAATACCGTCCATACGAGTGGACGACCTTTTTGATGCGGGAGCGCGGGTATCTGTGACGGCGGCATGACAGTCTTTTTTCAAAATTTCAAACTTTAGCTGGGTGATATCCCATGACGGGGGGAATTTGGATTGAGTGCAAAAAAAAGTATCATCACTACTGGTATTTAATAACCAGCCCCTCGCCGATCGGGCCCAACAGAGGGATTTATGGGATCGGGGGATGGAACGTGGAAAAGAACATGGGAAACTAAATAAAAAGACAGCTAAAATCTCAACACTTTACTTGTAGAAGAGAGAAAAAGAAAGAAAAAAAATAGGTCCCAATCTAGCCAACTCACTCTCCAACCAAGGCCAACCCCATCTTCCCCCGCCTTCCATTCCCGCCCCTGATCACGGCCCAGAAGAGCGCGTAGCCCACCCACGCGACGCCAACACCCCCCATTGTCCAGATGAAGCTCTTCTCGTACCCGGGCGCCCACTCGGGACGGAAGGCCCAGCTCGCCAGCACGCCCGCTACATTTCCCCAGCCATTTATCCCGAGCACCACAGCGCGCTTGCCGGGCGTTTCCATGTTATTACTTAACCATGCCACGGTCAGAGGGGAAGCGATGTACGTCCCCGAGAGGAGTAAGCAGAGGGAGAAGTAGCGCGGGGTAAGCGCGGTAAGGGGTAGCAGGACTAAAAGCGCGAGGGAGAATAGCGAAAGGGTGAGGCCGTAGAGGATGTACTTGAGGCGCAGGCGTGAGCGGTCGGAGAGATATGTGGTGTACCAGAGTGAGCAGGCACCGCAGAGGAATGGAGGGATCGTCAGAAGGTTCGCATGTAAGGTGGAGTATCCGAAGCCCTTCACGACGAGTGGGAGGAAGACACTGAATGCTATTCCGGGGACGGAGGAAGTGATGTTGCAGATCAGGAGCCACCAAACGCGCCAGTCTGTGATCGCAGCGATAATGTCTTGCCTGTTCAGGCCGGGTTCGCCACCGATTGTTTTGGCGCTGATGCTTCCCCGCCGCCATTTTGCTTCCTCGTCCTCGGATTCGCTCTCGTCTAGGAGGCCTTCTCCAGCTTCTTCTTCAAGTGCATTCTCCGCCTGCGCGCGGTCTATCAAGATGCGCTTCTCGGCCCAGGCTCGTTCTGTGGCAGTCCTGAGCCACCAGGCATTCCCGGGACCGGTTGGGAGCCAGAAGAACGCTGTGAGCGCGACTACTATGGTAAGGCCAGCTTCGAGGAGGAAGAGGATCTGGTAGCTGTACCAGCCTTCGTGTTCAGGCTCTTGGACGGAAGGTGCTGTGATATCGCCTTCGGGATCTGAGTAGAGCGGGGTGGTTAGGATGGTGGGGTGAGGGTGGGGTGGGAGAACCAACCGTTGGGAAATAGTCTGAATACAAAGTACGATACCAAACCGCCGAAAGCCCCGGCGACAGCGTACTGCCCGTAGAACATACCCAGTCGCTGAGCAAACTCATATCGTGTGTAGAACAACGACAAGTAGAACACCGTCGCTGGGTAAAACCCGGCTGTCGGACACCCTAGTTAGATCGCCCCCCACCCCCCCGTTCCCTCCCCGACCCCTAAAAAGTTGAAAAACGTACCTTCTAAAGCCCCGATACAAATCCTCAGCCCAATCAGCTGCGCCCTGGATCGCACAAACGCATTCAACCCCGTCAGGATCGCCCATCCAACCATCACCCCGCCGACCCACCTCCCGACACCAACCTTCTTACCCAACGCCGCACCAACCGGCTGCAGCAGCACGAACGCGACAAAGAAGGCGCTCACAGCATCGTTCAGATCCTCTGGAGCGAGCCCCGCATGCCGCGTGAAACCCGCAGTCTCAGCGTTTCCGACGTTCGAGCGATCAAGGGAGTTGAGGAGGAAGATGAGGGAGAGGAAAGGCAGGAGGTAGATGTCTGTTCTCCGCTTGATGGTTCCGGTGAGGGCTCGCATGGGTGATGGCTTTGGGTCGTCGGCAGGAAACAGATGAGGCGGGGGCGTGGGGACGGGGGAGAGGAGGGGGGTTGATGGCCCGGAGGGGGACTGGAATAGCGCAGGTTCTGCATTAGCCGACTGACCATCCTGCCGGGGAATGGTGACGCAAGGGGGTATGATAAGGTACCTGAGAAGAAGCCAGCGCTGCGGTTTAACCGAACGAGTTTTTGTGAATTTTGTTCGGTTTCGCCCCCTAGCCTATCAGTATACCGAAATCCGAGCATAGGAAAACTCGATGTGGGCGATGGAATAGAGCTCAGCCCAGCCGTGGCGAACCTTGGTTTGGTTGAGCAACCACGCGCAAGGCTGTGGCTACTTATGGCGTTGAGGCTCTGCGGCTTGGCGACCGGGGTCCACTCATGTCCAAGGATCAATGTCCAAGGATCAGGAGAAACGTTGGGCCGTTGCACTTCAACGGTAGGCTGGGTCACAGCAGATAGGAGTGACAAACAAACATTCTCTCCATGGTTTCCTCGAAATCCCGCCCGTGACTGAGGAGAATCCTGTTCGTGTTTGGGCAAGGATTTCGGGTCATATTGTGTGGCAGGAAACGACATGTCCCTTGTTGCTAGCGATTACGCCACATACCGGTATAGTGATGGAAGTCGAGGCCACCAATCCAGTGCAAATTCTACGGGCCCGCCCGACCTTCCTCTACTGAGTACAGTACCGGTACACCCTAGTGCTCACCCTTTGTACGGTACAAGATCCAATGGCTAATGTTTTCCAGGTCCTGCCCAAGCCGGCAACGAGCCTCCGGGGCAACAGCTTATTTCTCGCAACGCCACCGACAGGGAAGCTAGATTCTTTAGTGGAATCCGTGTCCGTAGCGACAAACGCACCATTTCGGGCATTGCAAACTCGCACTTTCGTATTCGATACGCCAGCTAGCCTGGTTTTGACCCAGCTCATATCTTCCCCCACGGGTATGAAAGTCTTTGGACCCGGCCTGGTTGTGGCCGCTGGATCACAGACATGGGTGACGATACCGGATCCTCGGGGATCAACTTATCGTAAAACGATCGGGTTTCCTGTCAACTCAATTATACACTAAATCTCTGATGGGTACCGGTACCTGTTATCCCTTAACCCGGACGGTGGCTACAAGGTAGTTGTGTTTGAGGACGATGTTTTTGGGTATGGTGATTAGCATCTTTCACCCCATGTGCCAAAACTCAGCCGACCTCCACCGTGTACGACCACCTTCCAGGGTGGAATTTCTGCCATCATAAGAGGAGCAGGGGAGCCAATCTTCGAGCACGCCGGAACCGATATGGTGGGTGAGATCCTTGCTGGTCCGAATGGGAAAGGGGGATTCGAATTGGGGATAGTTAGAGAGGTTTCCTGAGGGTAATTATTTTGGCACCTGAGACGTGGTGCAGCCGTTGGGATAATATTGCTAACTCAGGTAGTACTAGTGATTTGTGGCCCCACATGACCCTAGAAGTTTCAAAGTGGAAACGCATTACGAGGGAAACCGACCAGAAAGGAGCTGGTGAGGGATATGCTGGAAATCGGGGGGCTTTCCTCTTTTTATTATACTCTCCTCGAGGAAGCGTTTCGCGTTTCTAATCCACGGGAGATTTCTTCCTCCTTTCACTCATCTTACCTCCCTTTCGGCTGGCTCTACCCGCACGGCGAGTGCCGACACTGTACTGTACTACACATAGCCGATTGGAGAATGCTCTTCCCCGTTTATCCGGCCATGGTTTGATATCTTGTCGAATTACCGTAAAACAAGCCAGTCGTGCGGGAACCGGCTACCCGCGACATGGCACGTCGCAGGACTAGATACGCAGCGCAGACCGTAAACAGTAAAAGAGTATTATTAGCACGGTTCACGCCGCGACACCCGCACCCTACCGTTATGGACTCCTGCGAGAGACTCCGGTCGAGTCCCCCCCCCCACGCGTCACCCAAATAACATTCTAACTGCACCCTTTTAGCACACCGTACGGAATATACGGTATTCCCTCGGCGGAAAATGAATAAATAATACTACGCCCGATATGCGCACGCCGCGTGCTGCAACCTTGCGATATTAGTTTTCATACCGCTGTCACACACCTTAAGTAGCACTCATCCAGCGAGCCTCGGGAGCAGGGCACGTTCACCGTCACAAACAATCACTCGTATTGGGCCACTGGCAGCTTGGCTCGCGTCTCTAACACCGTGAAATATGGAACAATTGGGCTTCACACTGGGACGTTGGAGTCGCCTCTGCTAATAAGGTCGGCCCGTGTTTACCTTTTTTTTTTTTGATTCTTCCTAGCCCGAGGGCGAAAGTGGATTTTTCGCAGTGTTTTTTTTTCTTCCTTCCTCTTCTCCCCGATCCGAAGGGGAAAACCCCGTACCGTGCTTTTCACCTCAGCGCCTTACAGTGCAGTACCGTATCATGCCGTGCTAAGTAGGTCGCTGGGACTGCGGGGGAAGTAAACGAGCGATAGCAATGGATAAGAGGAACAATACAGGGTATGATATCATAGATAAAGGGGGGAAAAAAAAAATCTATCAACAATGCTTTTTACGTTCCTGGAATTATTTCCTTCTTGTTAATAAACCCCCCTGATAGATAGATAGTCTCCAATGCCCTTTAAATACCGCCCTACAATCCCGGCATCATCACAAGCATCGAGCACTGTGTTGGTATCATAGACCATCATATCAGAACACCAAAAAGCAATAACCGCCAACCGCCACGACACCACATGACACCTTAACGAAGCACGGGTACAGTACAGTGCAGTGCAGTATAAGCCCCAATACCACAACCGCTATCCAAAACAGCGCTCATACAAAAATTCCCTTTTCGGTAACTCTCATCTTATACTAAAACTATGTTCCAATTCCGTCTCCAGTACAGTGTGGTTCACTTGCACCCTGTTCTGGAACTACATGATTTTTAGCATTAGATGGCTGACTTGCGGGAATAGGATAGAGTGCTCTTAATCGTGAGCCCTTTAGCGTGATGGGTGTGGCTTCGGAGGAGGAGGGAGGGGGGTAGCGGTGGTTTGTTGGGGCTGGGGGAGGGGAGAGAGGGGGGAACTAAGGAGATGAGGGGACTGGTGGTGAAGAGTATGCTGGCCCACTGATAGTGGCTCCGGAAAGGAGTAGCATGGAATTCGCGAGTAACCGCGTTCTCACGATATCCCGGGGATGCAGCATTTTTCCCGCCCACAAAAAGGAAAGTACATAATTCGGTTTTTTATCGTACTAGACCCTCAATTCCTGAACGCCAACCTGACCAACCGAGAGAAAATCAATTTACTGGAAGCTCGGGTATGGAATAGTCTAACCCATACTAAATATTCTCAAGGCCCAAGTACTCTCCAACCAATACAGCCGCCTTCTCACCGACCAAAAGGGCGGTGGAGTAGGTATTTGCGCCAACTTGAATGAAGAAGAAAAAAGGCAATTGATTAGCACGAACCCGAATCTAGGTCCTAAAGAGATAGAGAGCTCACCATTTCCGGGGCAGATCGACAGATCCGCCAATTTTAGCCCTTCAACGCCATACACGTTCAGTTTACCATCGACAACGCCGCCTTGATCTCTCGGCTTCATGGCACAAGTACCCATAGAATGCCATGTAGTAGCGACATTCTCACGGACCCATTCTTCTATGGCGCTGTTATCCTCTTCTGTGTATACCAAGTTCTCGATCTTTCCACCAGTCTGCGTGGGTTCCAAGGCTTCATAGAGTGTTATCCCGGCAATGGCACCGGTAGATTCCTGAATCTCTCCTGAGTTCTCGATGTCGATCTCACGAGCACGAGCAGCAGATGAGGGATTGAATTTGGGATGGACACCCGGGACCTCACCACGGTAACAGGGCATGCGGCGTACGATCTCGCGTCCGAGCTTGTAGCCCCATACGTTCGGGCCGATATCGGCCTGGTGTGCGAGGAAACCGGGATCGAACTCCGGTTCCTCGTATGGTGAGGGGGAGGTAATGTGGATAGTGCCGCGGGAAGCGGGGTATTCCAAGTATGACGCGATCGTTACATACTTGCCGGGTGGGACAAGGCTACGATTCCCAAAGAACCTGCGGAAGTTAGTAACCACTCCTTCTGATGGAAAGTTGTGAGCTCACGCATTTCCAATGCAGACAAACATAACGGGCTTATCCGGAGCATCCTTGAAGTACTCATCGTAAAATTTCCGGAATTCGGGGCCCATCTCTTCAATTTCCCTCTCAGTTGGTCGAACTTTACCACCGGCATCGAGAAAGTTTGTTGCATAGACCCCCTTTCCGTTGGCAAAATCCCTTTCACCCTGTTCATGGACGTCGGTGTTGCCAAGAAGGAAATCATCGTGGGTACTGGTCTCCGGCGCAACCCGGTAAGTTGGAAGTATCAAATTGTGGTCTTGGTAGTTTGTTCCCACACCGGGGAGGTCAACGACCTGCTTAACTCCAACCGCCTTCAAGACCTCCGGCGCCCCGATACCGGATCTCTCAAGAATCTGTGGGGTGCTAAGGGTACCAGATGACACAACAACAAGCTTCCTGGCTTTGATGGTGGTGGTCACTGGGGCAGAGGAGTCCACAGGTGCTTCGGGAGGAACTACTTCAACTCCTACGGCTTTTCCGTTCTCGATGATTACTCGGGCCACCTTAGTATCACATAGGAGATGGAGGTTACAGCCCTTCTCAATTTGAGGGTGAATGAATCCGTGCGCGGCATCGCAGCGTCGGCCAGTCTCGGGGTTAATCCACTTGGGCCATTTCTGAAATTTTGTTAGCGCTTGTTTCACAATTGGAATTCAGGAATGAAACCGAGAAGGCATTGGACTCCTTGAGATCTTGTAAATCTTCGGTAAGCCTATACCCCATAGACTTGGCGGCCTCGAGAAGCTCCTCGGTGGTGTCAGACTTGTGTCCTCCCTGGGAGACGTGCAAGGGTCCTTCGAACCCATGGATTGCGGGGTCCTTGTTCTCGAGATGGTAAGTCTCGGTTTTCTTCAGAAGTGGGATCAAATCTTCTGCGGCCCAGCCCTCGGTCTCCCAGTCGTCGTAATCCCTAGCCATGATTAGACTCGCATTCCAACCAACTCAATGGGGAAAACCCACGATCGACTAGCCCTAGTGTACATCATAAAGTTGATACTTGATCCACCACCCAGGACATTCCCGACAGGAACAATTGGCTCTCGACCACCGAGTTGTTTGGATGCTTTCCCCTTGTAAAACTTGGCGGTGGTTGAACCGGGTGCCTGGTGGGTGAGGTACAGCGCCGGCCGGACGACCTCACGAACATTGTAATTGTTTTTTCCGCATTCTACCACAAGGACGCTGAGAGATGGGTCCGCCATTGCGAGTCGGCCCGCCACAACGCTGCCAGCAGCGCCTCCACCGCAAATAATAACGTCTACTTCTGATGGGGGAGACATAGTGTTTTCGTGTTGGTTGGAAAACTCTGAGGGGAGATGGAGATTGGGGGCATTTGTGATTATATAGGGTTAGCATGGGGTGGGGTGCCACGCGAGATGGGGCATCCATACCCACATCAAGTGCTGATTGATCCAGAACTGTATCAGCTCGGTCTGGCGTTAGCGCAGCGTGTGTCCGATTGTAGGCGATGGCAGGTATATCGGACGAGCCCCTGTGGGGGGTCGGGGAGATCTGTTGTGGAACACAGGTAATGTATGGTGCCAAGACAAGAACCTCATGTACTCGAGTACAATACGAATACTGTATTCCGTACTCTCTAGTGATTCACGAAAACTGGTCAGGATAGCACCGCCCGATGCGTAAACCGGAAAATATTCAGGGAAGCGCACTAGATATAATTAGTTCGGGACCCTTGAATCCTGCACAAGCCCCTGCTTGGACAGTCAACTTTAGGAGCCAACCCATGCGTTCCAATTGCCCCGCGATTGCCAATAGATCGTAGGTCCTTCTCACGCAGGTTCTCTCTGGATCCTGATTGCGGCGCCCCCCCTTCCTTTGCTGTCATTTCGAAACAAGGATGCACTAGCCCACAATCCTTTACCCAATCAACTCTCTCAGCTTTGAGTTTCATCCGCACTCTAGAGAGGTATTGAATAGAGACCACCGTACCCGAATCCGTTGTGATGGGGGGATCGGGGTGGGTGATGTCAACTCGTTGGTATACCTAGGGTCGCTTCTGAGTTGGACGCTCAGGAACAAAAGGCAAATACCATCGTCCCCCCCGCTGACTCGCGAGGAACCGCTGCACGCTGCTTAGCTTAAAGCTCACTATTTCCAGCGCCCCCCACAGGATGGTCGCCCAAATAGTACAAACCAATCCCTAATTGATAATGCGCGTTAGTTGTACTGTGCCAATGTTGTTAGCCTAGCTTCCCAGAGCTTCGTCAGAAGATGCAGTGTAACCGCCGGCAGATCAATCCTACTCCTCCCAGGAGAGAAGTATCCGAAAATACGAGCCGTGAGTTTATCCGTGCGCTCATATACGCAAGGATATTTTGCCATATATTTTGAGAATCCCTGTTTTCGTGTACTTCTTGCCTGGGACGAGTATTTTTGATACGCGGCAGCCTGACTGACCCCTCAGAATCGAACAAGCTGCCCGAATTGCTCAGAAGTTCCAGGAGAATAGAGAAACTAAATATTTTTTCAAGCAATACCGCATCGGGGGGAGCGACGGGGGCAATGCGGATTTGTCCCATACCCCAATGTCCTTGCGCTGAAGTGCAGTTCCAAGGTATGCCCCAAATCCCAGGCAGACCTTCACTCCGAGCTCCTCTGAGATTGCAAACGGAAATGTATGATATCATAGTAATTTGGATGCTTGTATAAGAAGCACGCATGATGGTTGAACATGCCAAAATGAGGAAAATAAATCCGCAAACACGCCAAAGCCGAGCGGAAAGTTGTCTGGGTGGATAACCCGCCTTGGGAAGTGGGGTTTTAACAGGGTAAATCTAACGAGGGTCATGGCATATCATTCACAGATTTAGCATAGACGCTCGCCGCTTGTTTAGTAAGAAAACAGGCGTGGACACTCCAGAACCGGAATTTTTGTTCCGGTAGGATACAGTAAGTTTTTATTGGAAAAAGTTGCGAAGGAGAGCCAAGGAAATGGACTACCCTAAGGTGTGTCTTAGGTTATGGGTTCTCGGGAGCCGGTACCTTTGCCCAAGTGGGATGGAGTAGGGACCTATGCTTTCATTGCTGTGGTATCATACCCGCCATGCCAAGGGTTTCCGCATGCAGATGATCCATTTCGACCAAAATGCCTTTCGCCTTCTGCGCCCGGCAGATGGAAAACCGGCAAAAGCGCAGCGTATGCTAGACGTTTAGCTATCCTCCAAAATACCCTTGAGGTGCAATTTCGTTATTCGGGCAACGATAGTCATCCAGAACCCCCGCCTTTTGGTCTCTCTTGATCTGTGTCTGGTTACTAAACAACCGTTACCGTATTCGCACATTTCCTCTGACGCGGACTTGGCAAATGATCGGCTGCATTTCTATCCGCCACCGTACGAATAGTACTTGTAGTGGTACGTTACCTAATATACAGGCTCCCGTTCTCGGACCGTGAGATACGGGTATCCCCAGCACGCGAGCGTTATGTAACATGCGTGCAGCTCCAAATCTCGAAGCACCCGATCCTAGCAGGAATCTTGCCATGCTTACTGTAGATCTAATGCGGACACAAATTCTGTGATGGAGGCGGCGAAGCGCGATAGGCTAATTGCATTTTTCCATCCTGGACGTAAATCGCCCCACATCTCTTCTTCCCAGGTGTGGTGGTGCACCGCATCTCTCGACTGTCCCCGGATTGTACAGCTACGGCGCAAATCTTCTACTCAGGCGCTGCACCTGTAATCGAGCACTGTGTCCCTTTGAATTGGCGGTCAATAGTCCGGTGGCAAATGGCCTAACCTTGGGGTTCGAGGTTGATGGGGGTGGACGTGCACAATTCCTTGGTCGGTTTGAAGGTGTAGCGAAGTGTGTCGTTCCCTCTAGGGAAGGTGGCTAGCTATCTAATGTATAGGTATGATATGGTGGGAAGAGACCACGAGAATGTAAACCCTCACACTCATCTGAGTTTTTGAGCGTCACACATGTATACCTCCACTCACACATTTCCCATACATCTCTCCACACATACCCGTGTTCCTGTGCTAAGCCATATCAGCGCTCCCAACACTACAACACACTACTATCGTATTGGAATTCTCATACCATCAAAAGTTACATGCACCTCTAGCGAAGCCCCGTACCACCCCAATTTTCAAGGTGTCCTAGCTTGCGGATATCCGAGTATGATACCGCTACTCACCAAAAAAATTTGTATCTACACAACTATCACCTCTAGTTAGCTACACCTGATCAACCCCCCCCCCCCCTTAGTTCCACTAGAATTCGTTGTTGTCATCCACCGCAAAAACTCGATAAGTTACCTAGAGGCTACTCGTAGATCAACCACAGCGGGCCTCAGCGGAAGTCACTGTCTAAACTACAATAGGCTTAGCAAAGTAGGTGAACAGAATGACGACTCCCAGATAACCATACCCACCAAGCTCAGCGGCTCGAGGCCAATTGCACTGTACGAGTACGAGTGCTACCGATAGATATAACCGTCACGTGAAGCATGATAAACCAAAACCGTGCGGCGCTTTTGCTTACCATATGGTGCATTGCGTCTAGAGTGTGCACCCTGCTCCATGCAACACGCAAGGCTCAACCCTCTGAGGAAACAGGGCCCACCCCGGGAAAGTGTAGATTTGGAAGCTCCTATGTTCAATTCGCACGGCTTAATGTTTTTCCCTTGCATATTTTTGCACCTTATTCACCGGAGGTTTAAATGTGTGGGGCATTGTCTCAATGAAAAAAAAGATAAGATATCATATTATAGTTCAAATTGTGTTTGGGGGGAAATTTTGAAATTAAGCGTTAGGTTACGAGACAAAGTGTGATAAACCACTAAATTCAAATCTACATTTTTCTGGGTTGTCCCCTGCCTTACGCGTTGCGTGGAGAACCGGTGTGCGCACTCTGGACTCAATGCGCCGTACTTCACGTGACGGATATATCCACCCATCTATCTATCTATCTTCCGCACTCCTACCACAGAGCGCCATTCTACCCTGTTATTAACTAATTATTAGCAATCTCTACTCTTTTTTTTTAATTGTGTAGAGAAGTTAGGCGAACCCTCTGCTCTACGCGCATCCGTTAGCTTAATCGCCTAGGCTCGCCTCACTATCCTCTACGCCCGATACTGTACTGGTGCAATAGTGAATAGCAATCAAAGTACGGTGTGCCTAGCGACTAGCAATGCCCTTCTCTCATGTAGACGACCCCACGATACTGTTCCTCTCGCCCAGGTATTTCGCACATAACCCCCCCTTCTCCAAAAAAATATTTGCACCCCGCTCACCGTTCAGGGGTTGCAGCGGTTTTTTTATTTTATTTGTTAGCGGGGGGGGGGGGGGGTCTGGTTCTAGGGATTAGGAAAAAGAGTATCAAATTTAATCCTGGTTCTGGGCGTACGGTAGTGCGGCGTCCTTATCGGATGATCCGGTGATATGCTTGGCTGCCTCAAGGCATTATCATACATAATGTACCGTACGAGTACTGTATTCGGGCCCCCTAGTCAATGATGACGCCGGGCACCGATTTCTGGTGATTAATTGGAGGCTTGTTTCCCATTTACTCACCAAAATTCGGCTCCCGGCGTCATTTTTTGTCTAGGACGCGCGGGTAATATCTTATACCAGTACCGAGTATCACGCAGAAAGTGCCGTAGCTGAGATCAGTGATTCGGTCCATTTCAGATCATGAATTTTCCTCCCGGATTTTTATTTTTTTATTTTTTTATTTTTTCACTCCTTCACCACACCTTTCATTCCCGGAAAGGTTGTTCGTACCCGTAAACTAGTATGGGTAAAGTATCCAGAAGTGAAGGTGTGAAGGTGTTCGAGTTCTATGATATGACCCCGAATTGAGGGTCTTGGCGTTTCCATTTCCAGATATCATATCACACGAGCACTTTACAGATTGGCGAGTAGAGAGTTAGCTCATCTGGAGTGCTCTCAGCTAGTTGACTCGATCTGTCGTGGTGGGGTTGTAAGGTTCCGACCCCAGAAAGTTCTCACGCTGACCCCACTCATGAGTGATCACTCGATAGGTAACTAGGAGTGTTGAATTTCGTGTTTTAACCGTCGCATGGAATGGCCTCTTTTCGCGATTAAGAGTAGTATTTAGTCTCTTTTCTACTATTATAGCCCTTTTCTTCACTACTACTTTGTTGTTTGGCTATGCCAGACTTTTTCTCCCCTCTTCGCCCTTCTCTCGTTTTGCCGCTGGATCTTACTCAACCACAAATCGTTTGGATGGATGTATCTGAGTAGCAGAGGGTGAGTGGGAAGGGGATGGATCTAGTGGCAAGCGTACAGTAGGCTGTTAGATATGATCA